TATTTATAGACTAGTACCATACAAGGTACCATATGACCATGATAGTATGATGTATAAAGTGTATTAAAAATAAATAGAATTGTAAGTAATTTGAGATAATTCATAATTATGTGTGTAATTAATTTATTATCGGGTAGCGAGATATTACCTAATTAATTAATTGGTTATAGGATAAGATTAAAACTCCACCCCCACCCCACGTGGCAGAAAGCCACCACCCAAACAAATGACTCATTAGTCATGTTGGGTTAGGTGGCAACCAGTTAAAATGAAAGCCTTGAAATTCAAAAAAAAGCTACATAACTTCTAACAAATTAAAAGATTCATATCTCCAACATTTGAGGGAATAGAAAAGACTCTTTATGAGACCATCTGAAGCCTCTGAAATAGTGTTCCAGTACGTTGAGAAAGAAAATCTTGTCAAGCCATCAAATAAGTCCATTGTGACGTTGGGTACAATTGAAGTTTCTGAAATTTATAAACCAAGCGTGCATGCAAATCCTATTTTTGCTTCTGTTGGTGCTGACACTAGAAGACTTTTCACTGCAACCTGAAGCCAACGTTGAAAGCAATCAAAAGCTAACATAGAAGGGTACGGATCCTTAATAAATCGAACGGAGATTTTACAATTTTAAAGGAGTACGGTGTAAAGCTTCTAAAGAATATCACACGGATTTTTTCCTACTTCAGGTATGTTAAGGCTATCCCTTCTTTCTTTTTGGCATGATCTAAATTATACAGAAAAAACGAGCAAACGCATAGTTTTCATAAACGACTCTATTCGTAGAAATACTAAGGGTCTCTATGTTCTTGATTCCCCATGTAACATATTATTATATCTTCTTTTCATGGGTCTTAGAATAATACGCAGTTGATAAAGTCTATCCGAAAGAAATATTGAGATTATTAACATATTTTCATGCATTTCATTCATTTATACATATACATTGACCCATGACCAGATGGCGTTATGTACACGTATTTATATATATATGGGATATGGAAAAAGGTTACGGCGTTATATACGCACCACCACCTGATCAGTTGGTATATATGATGGGATGCCCTCATAGGCTTGATGATGTTATGTACACCTATACCTATGCATGACACGACATTTACATGCACGCGCATGATGTTATAATTGTTTCAGAATTTGCAAAGTTATTTAGACATACAGGCGGAATTCCTTATTCCATGTTTCATCTATGTCTCTTATGTACTAATTTTCATGCCTTAGATACTCAGTACATTATTCGTACTGATGCCCTATTTCCCGAGGCCTGCATTTCATGCCCACAGGTGCAGGAAGGCAAGCTGACGGTCCCCCTGGTTAGGATTCTTGATCAGCGAGAGTTGGCTTTCTCCACTTGATCCGGAGCTGCTTTTGATTTTGGTACGATATGCTTGTATACATATATGGGTATGACGTGGCCCAGTCTCGTCCTTGTACAGTTGTATTTTCTATTAGAGGTCTATAGACAATTATGTATAGTTGGATAGTATGTGGCCTTGTCGGCTTCTAGTTTTGGGTATATAGTTGTCTATAGCATCCTTGCCGGCTCGCCCATTGTATTCCGCATGTATATGTACATATGTCTTTTGGATAGGTTACCCTCACGTATGTTATTCATGTCTATATCTTAAACGCATGCTTAAGGATGTTCGACATGTCGGATTCGGGCACTCGTCGCGGCCCATCGGTTTGGGTCGTGACAGCCTTTTTCAGAGTTGCTATTCTTGAGAAAATTAGTACTTCTCTCTCTTTACCTTTTCTATGTTCTTTTCAGAATAGATATTGATGGATTAACGATATTCTTCTTTTAAAAGGCAAAGAGAGGGACCATCAGTTAATTCTCACTTTCCATCAAAGTGGGTTAGAGGGAGTTATAACCATAATTAACTTCCCCTAATTTCTTTCAAATATTAATATAACAAAATATATTTATTAAACCAAAAAATTTATAAACCATACATGGGCCATATTTTACAAAACGGACCCGGAGGGGTCCCCGAGCTGATCATCCTCGCCTCTGATTTTTTATTGGAACCTGTTATGGACATCGGCCTCGGTTACTGTCGCGTATTCTATCAAATTCTGTTTCAGCTGCCGTGAAGCCAAGGAGCTTTGGGGATTGAGTCCTTGAGTGAATGCCTAAACGACCCAATCACCCGCAACAGGAGGCAGGTCCATTCGTTCCATTTATAATCTCGACACGAATTCCCTAAGCATTTCACTATCTCTTTGTTTTACTTTGAAAAGGTCCGTTTTTCTGGTCTTGATCTTGATGGCCCCTGCGTGCGATTTTACAAAGGCCTCTACAAGCATAGTGAACGAATCAATAGAATTAGGGGGTAAGTTGTGATACCATATCATTGCTCCTTTTCCCGGGGTTTCTCCAAACTTCTTCAGTAAAACCGACTCGATTTCGTCATCTTCTAAGTCGTTTCCCCTGATGGCACACGTGTAGGAGGTCACGTGCTCATTCGGATCCGTGGTTCTGTTATACTTCGGAATTACGAGCGTACGAAACTTCTTCGAGATTGGCTTCGGTTCCGCGCTCGCGGGGAAAGGTTTTTGGAAAAAATTCTTGGAATCCAGGCCTTTGAATATCGGGGGTGCTCCTGAGATTTGATCAACTCTGAAGTTATAGGTCTCCACTTTTTTATCGTTGGTTTCAATCTTCTTCTCCTCTGATTCCACCCGCTTCGTCAAGTCCTTAAGCATCTTTATTTTTTCGGGGTTGGTCCCGGGCTCAATTTCTCCTGGCTCTCCGTGACTTGTTCATTTCTTCGGGTGTTTTCCCGAGATAGTTCGAGCTCAACTCTGCCGAGAGCGCGGCTTTGGTTCTGCAAATGGGCTATCGCCGCCTATTGGGCTTGTAACATTTCGAAGATCACCCGCAGATTAATCTCGTCGCCTTCACCGTCATGCGTACCCCGAGCTGTTTAATTGGCTCCTCTGCGAACGTTGTTCTCGGGGTCGGTCGGCAGGTTTACATCGATGGCCACATGTGAGTTGGCATCAATTGGGTCTGCAACTAGGACTCCGTTGGGGTCGACATGGGGCACCTCATTGCTAGGTACTATATTGTTTTTTTCGCCATGGTGGCCAGACTCAGCATCAACGTTCAAGTGAGTAGATTGAGAGTTTGACATTCTTAAGTTAACCTGAAATTAAAATCTCAAAGAACAAGCGTCAAACAGAGTGCGTTATGAAAATTTCTATCAAATTAGTAGTATTATCCTTAGCCCCACGGTGGGCGCCAAAATATTTACCCATAAAAATGATAACAATTGAATTTATACACGATTTTAAAGAATATATGGACTAATTCAATACAAAAGATTAATGATGTTAATAAGAAAATTAAAGATAGAATAAACGGTCAAACCGGTAGTAGTACCAAGTTCGAACTCGGTTATGACCCAAACACTTAGCCTGCCTTCGACTCGAAACCAAACACTTATGAAGGGCTATGAACAAAATTAACTTTGAGCAACCTTTAGAACAAAAAAAATAAATGTATATTACCTTGGTATGCGTATTACAGTGTCCCTAATGAATAATCAGCTTCCTCTTTATATAGTAGGGGAGTTTTACCCTAAGTACAATTCTAAGAAAGGTAATGATCTTCCTTTCGCTAATCGCTGATCCACCGCCGATACGGGCCGAGATTCACGCTGTAATATCCGGTTGGACACGAATACCATGGCCCTTCATTAAGCGTGCCCGTCAGTTTGGTAATGTTCTCTGAGGTCGTGGAACTCGAACCGTACTGGGGGGGCATGGTCTCGATGGTTCCGAGGGCAAGTGTTTTGCTCGGGCCTTGAATAGGGGTGCTTATCGAGCGGATCGGGCGGATAATTACGCTTAGCGATTTGGCTTATCAGTTATCGAATTATAAATGTTGTAATCCGCTAGCCATTCAATAAGACAACTGGCGGATTGGTATCGAATTAACGATTGTCGGACGGTTTATCAATTAAATCAAATAGAAACTTTTTTAACAATCATTCAATCAATGCCAAACGGTTTCAAATCATAGATCTCTTTCTCTAGTTCTATCTTGAGATGTTGTGTTGATGTTTTCTTTGGTTCTATCTTGGAGTGTTTGTACCGTCTCAATTTTCATGCATATTTTCTGAAAAGTATTGATTAAACAATTTTATTATATAGCTGGTAAAATTCTGTTATGAAAACAAAAATCTATCACTACTGCACAGAATACATATGCATTTCTAACTTCTTACTATTAGTTTCCACTTATTTTTCATTTGGTTATTATAAAGGCATCTAAGTTACTTAGTTCAAATGTCATCTAAGGCAACATAGTCTTACTCTACTGCAAGTCATAATCTAAATCTGCTGGAACGTGTAAATAGAAAAATTCTTAACAGGTTAACGGTTTACCCAATAAGAAAATTGAGTGATCCGTCCCCAAACCGTTAAGTCGTTAATTATAAAATCTCAATCCGTTCACCATCCATTACCCCGATAATCCAATACCAATAAGCCAATAAGCCAACGGTTCGGTTCGGTTTTGAACAGCACTAGCCTTGACGCGAAAGGCTCCTAGCCTCGATTCCGACTCCTCGCGATGTCCTTGCTTCGTTTGCTTCACCGAAAAATCAGGGTACTCATTAGCCTCGGTATCCGAAATTAATTTGACCAACTTATAAGTTACGAGATACATTGGGTCTTTCTATATTTCACATGCCTATAAGTGTAAAACTAACCATAACTCATATTTATTGCCCAACAAAATAAAAAGAATATGTAATTTATTTGGAGAAAAGAAAATGTATAATCTAATTATTTTTAAGCTCCTAATAAAAATTTACCAACTATATAAAACCTACATCCCAAATTCATATTTAGGCCATTAATTCTAGCGAGCATGATATAGTTGGTACTTATTTTATTTTGGGGAAATTGGGTGACATTTTATTATAGTAGTACATAACACTTTTTGGCACGTTCATTAATTATTTCAAGTGTATATGTTAGAGTACTTATTTTAGCACAAATTTGGTAGTATGAAATACGAAAGAGAAAAGTAAACATCAGGGCGTACTTCTTTCAGGCACCGGTCTTGCCTTTGACAATGGAGTTCCTAGACGAAGACGCCAGACCCAGATTCCTCCTCCAATCCAAGCCATTACAGCAATCCAATTCCGATCCGGAAACCCAAACCCGGTCTCTATATCGACCCGGAATCATCATCTCCATCTCCCTTTCCCTCCTCTTCTTCGCTCTCTCTTTCCTCTATTTCACCATTGAACCCTTCGGATCCCTTCTCATTTGGCTCTCTCTTTCCCTCCTTATTGGCCCTTTTGCCCCACTTTCCGTCACTGCCGGTGACATCCGGATCGGACTTGGACCTCCCATCCAAGACCCGCCGAAAGACGATCTTTCTGATTCCGAAACCGATGCGAAAAAAACCAACAGAAGATCCAACCGACCCACCAAGAAAGTCGTCGACTTTGAGCCCGTACTGCCGGAGAACATTAATGGGTCGGTGGCAAATTCGGAGAAAATTAATGGGTCGGTAGTAAATTCGGCTAAAATTAATGGATCGGTTGCGAATTCAGAGAAAATTAATGGGTCGAGCGAGTGGAGCGAAGGAGATGAGGAGTTGTTGAGGAAGATGATGGGGAAGCACCCGGTGGGGAAACCGGGGCGGTGGGAGGCAATTGCGGAGGGGTTTAATGGGAGATACAGAGTGGAAAATGTGATCAAGAAAGCTAAAGAATTAGGCGAAAAGAAAATGAGCGATGAGGATTCGTATCAGAGGTTCTTGAAGGATAGGAAGCAAGTGGATAAGAGAAGTGAGAGTGGAAATGAGGATGATTTTGAGAATGTGGAGGTGAAGAAGGTGGTGGAGAATGGGTGGAGTAGTGGAGAGGATTTGGCTTTGCTTAATGCATTGAAGACATTTCCGAAGGAAGTGGCGATGAGGTGGGAGAAAATTGCAGCTGCTGTGCCTGGGAGGAGTAAAGCAGCTTGTATGAAAAGAATGACTGTGTTGAAGAAGGATTTTAGAAGTTCTAAGTCTGCTAATGCTGAAGCTTAGGGGAGGCATAAGAGCAGTTATTGATTTGAATATCATTATAGGTCAATTTTCCGCTTTATTGCAGAGGTAACAAATTTTCGTATAAGGCTACTTACTTATTTGTTAAAGAATTAAGAGCTCTACTTTTTGGCCTTGTTATTAGTTGAGGAAGCAACTGATACACAACCAGTTGTTCACTTAGAAAGTTACTGAGTTATATTGTTCTTTGTAATATGTAACTTGACAATCTTTTATATGAATAAATACATTACCACTCTGTGGCGATTGAGTTTACTGTGCATATGCTAACTTGCTAAGCATGGGGTTGTTCGTCCCAATTTTAAGTTGCAATTTACTGAGGATCACTTCTTGATGTTTGATGTCAAATATTTGATCTTGGTACTGTGTGATGCTCGGAATCAAAATGCTTTGACGATTCAAACTGTTAGAGGTTACATTTTCACTCTTTTAGTTGATTTTCTTGCTACTTGCTAGAATAAGTTGCTTGTGCAACCATTATGTGGTATAGAATAGTCAGCTTGATGCAGAAAAGTAAATGTGATTTTAACTTTTCCGATTATGCTCCAGCCACAGGAATTTGAGGCAATAGAGAGACTGGAGCAATTTGGTGAATAGATCAACTTGGCTATTGATTATTACCAAGATTGACTTTATAACTAGAATGCATAGGCATTTTATCACAAGTTAATAAGAATGATAGTCTGCAAGGAAATTTTAAGCTACTCGATTAGGCTAGCTATAGATCATCTTGTTGAACTTTGTAACCAAGGGGAAGTCAGTAATTCAGGTTTTATGAGTAACAACCTGAAGGACCTTAGGTTTGAAACTTTGAAATCCAACGACAACACTCAGTGGAGCCGTCCACCCACCATTGTTGGCTGCTGCAGGCTGTCCGATGAATTAATCAGAGGTGTTTGCCCAGTAGTCCTAGTATTAGTCTAATTTTAGATGTTGGCACTGCATCCCTCAACCTAATTATGGCCAATGAGAAGCTGACCATGCTTTTTCTTACCTGTTAACAAGGAAGAGAATACTATACAAAACTGGTATACTTATAGCTACGGTTTTGAATATAGAATCCAGCTAATCTCAGTTAGTAATTTGCTTGTAGAGACTCCATCTCAATGCATCACATTTGGAACTATTGAAACCCTAGGATCCTTCATAACCAGCAACGACGGGAAGCTGGCAAATTGGGAGGTTGATAGCAGAGGGGTTTAAAGGGAGACAGAGTGGAGATTGTGACGAAGAAAGCAGAGGAACTGGGTAAGAAGATGAGCGTTGAAGATTTGAATCATAGGTCTTTGAGGGATTGTAAGCCGGCAGATAAGTGAATCAACGGTGGAAATAAGGGTGATTTTGAGGAACTCATCTAAGTTGATGAAAAATGATTCCATAAGAACTAAGTGACAAGAAGTAAGCAATTAATGTTGCTTTAGGCTAGTTTTTAGGTTAGCTGGTGATGATCATGTCGAACCCTAGCATACCTGTTTTCAGTAAAATGATAAACTAAAATCAAATGAAACTCTCATTGGCTGCTATCAGAATCCCCTCGTCCATGTTCTTTTTCCTCCCTCTTTTGACCCACCACCAGTGTCTTCACTTCTTCCTTGGCTTTTGTACGTTGCTGCAACCAAAATCCTAGCTCATTCTTGTATCTGCAGTTCTTGCTGATACCTACTACTACCACCCATAACTTTTTCCTCTGCTGCTCATTGGAAAGTAGGCACGAAGAAAAGACATCTCATTTCGCTCTCTTTACTTGGTTTAGTTACAACATGAACACAGAAAAAAGCGTGTTCCCCCCTTAATTTCTCGAGCAACTGTATTCTCTGTGTTACAGCAATTAATTTCCTATCTTTCCAGTATACCTGTTGCTTTCCTACTATGTGACCTTTGACTGTGTGATGATGCTGTAAATCTCCTTTTATGTTTGGAAAAGCTCTGTTCAAGTGCATATCCATGATCTGACTTTAATTTGCTATGGTACTTCATGGGTGGGAACTGTCTATTGTATTTTTTTTTTTTTTTAAAAGGTAAATGATTTTATTGATGATGGAGAAACCCCGTATACAAGTCGTATATCAAAAAAGGTAGAGAACCTACACCAAAATATAGTTCTCCACAAAAGAAATCCGATCTTCTATACAAATAGGGGACCTCATGGATACACCAAAAGGAAATTACTAGGAACAAAAGACTACTTTTCAGTTTTACAAAATCTTGGTCTAGCCCTTCGAATGCCCTCTTATTTCTCTCTTTCCATATGACCCAATCTGTCTATTATGCTACATGTAATTACATTTGATATTTTGATGTGATTATCTTGGGGATTTTTATAACACAGAGAGTTGTCATTCTGGCTCCAAATTTGCTTATTCTACATGTTGAGTAGTTAGTTAAATAAATGGAATAATATAGTCGTTTGGTGAGTTTGAAAGAGGGTAAGGAGATCAATGTGTGCATATTTATTCTAGTGAAGGAAGGGGTCTATTTAAAGGAATGTCCTCTAAACCTTCCAGAGCTTGTATTTATCTGGAGTTGGAGGTAATATTGTTTTATATTTTGATAACCGAGATATGACCGAGATCATGGTTCGAAACGCGATGGATAATAAACTTAGATCTTTTATTTTTCTCCACTTAAATATTAGGTTTTTATACATGGTAGGGTTGGAGCACGCGACGTTGGCTTAAACCCACACGTTAAGTCCCCGGGCAATAATTGTAGGTAATATTGTAATGAAATAAACAAAAAAATCAGGATAAATATTTCAGGGTACAATATATGGCAAAAGAGTCATGATTTCCTTTTAAAAATATATTTAAAAGGGAAAAAAAACAAGAAAAAAAGAATAGGAATATGAAAGAGCTGGTTCAGGGTAGGGGGGGTGTCGCGTTATTTTTAAATATTCATTCAATAGTGAAGTCAAATAGATGAGAAGCATCAAAACAAAAAACAAAAGCTAAACAAGAAGGATAGGATTCTCAAGTTACATAAGTTGCATAAAATAAAGCTATTCGAATAAGTGTAAGTGTAATAGGGCCAACTTTTCGCAAATGGCACTGCACGGCAGTAGCCTGACCCTCAAGCCACTCAGTTTTACTTTTTCACACACAATTTAGGACTTAGAATTATTTCAAACTTTGCAAAACGTAAGCAACACACAGTAATACGAGTAAAACCCAACCTTTATTCTATTCTCGCAGAATATACAAACCCAACATTTGCGGTCTTGGATCTCTAAATCGAACTCTTGTAATAGAAGCACCCACCGCATTAATCTTGCTTTAGAATCTTTCTTGCTCATCAAATATCGTAGCCCCGCATGGTCGGTGCATACAATCACCTTTGTACCCATCAAGTACGGGCGGGACTTCTCCATAGCAAAAACAATAGCAAGGAGCTCTTTTTCGGACACTGTGTAATTGACTTGGGCATCATTCATGGTCTTACTAGCATAGTAGACTGGACGGAAGAATTTGTTGATTCGTTGCCCCAAAATTGCTCCAACCGCCAGATCACTTGCGTTACACATGAGCTCGAAAGGCAAGCTCCAATACAGTGCGGTAATAATAGGAGTAGTAGTCAATTTGAACTTAAGCAATTCGAATGCCTTCATGCAATCTTCGGTGAAATGGAACTTGGCATCCTTCTCCAAAAGCTTACATGAGGGGTTCACCACTTTGGAAAAATCCTTGATGAATCGGCGATAGAACACCGCATGACCCAAGAAGCTCCTCACTCCCTTCACGGATGTAGGGGTGGGAGTTTAGAAATCACCTATATTTTGGCCTTGTCGACCTCATTACCATTTCTTTGAAATTTTATGGCCAAGCACAATGCCTTCCTCGACCATGAGTGATATTTCCCCAATTCAACACCAACTTCGTTTCTTCACACCTTGCCAAGACCTTATCCAAATTTTTAAAGCAATCATCAAAAGAATTCCTGACCACGGAAAAATCATCCATGAAGACCTCAAGAAAATCCTCCACCATGTCGGTGAAGATAGCCATCATACACCGTCGAAAAGTTATCGGTGCATTGCATAACCCAAATGGCATCCGCGAGAATGCGAAAGTGCCATAGGGACATGTGAAAGTAATTTTTTCTTGATCCTCCGGAGCAATAAGAATTTGATTGTAGACGGAATACCCTTTGAGGAAACAATAGAAAGCACGGCCGACCAACCTATCAAGTATTTGATCAAGGAAGGGAAGTGGGAAATGATCTTTCCTTGTGACTTTGTTGAGCTTGCGGTAGTCCATACACACTATCCACCCGGTCACCGTTCTTGTAGGAATCAACTCGTTCTTGTCATTGGTAACCACAGTCATGCCCCCTTTCTTCGAGACACATTGCACCGGAGAAGTCCATGAACTATTGGAAATAGGGTAAACAACCCCAGCATCCAACCACTTTATGATCACCTTTTTTACCACCTCTTGCATTGCTTCATTTAGCCTCCTTTGATGTTCAACGGAGGGTTTGTCACCCTCCTCCAATATAATCTTGTGCATGCAAAAGGCAGGCCTTATGCCCCGAATATCCGCCAATGTCCATCCTATTGCTTTCTTCCTCTTTTATAGCACTGCCAATGTGGAGTCTACCTGCACATTAGTCAAACAAGAGGAAAGAATAACCGGTAAAGTAGAACAAGGGCCAAGGAATTCATACCTGAGATGTGGATGCAATGGGTTTAACTCCAAGGTGGGAGGCTCCTCGATTGAGGGCTTTATTGGAGGAGTTTTCCGGTTTTCAAGATCCAAGGATAACTTGCGGAGTTCATAAGTGTACGACCCCATTTCTTGCAAAGCATTCACGCATTTCACATGGCCATCCTTCTCCTCATCATCATCAAGGCTGAACAAAACGGCCTCCAAAGTATCCTCAATATTTATTGTGGCACTAGCATCATCAATAATCACATTCGTCACCAAGTCCACGAACGAACAAACTTCATTGCTATTTAGTTGCCTCATAGATTTGCACACATGGAAGTCCACATTTTCATCACCCACCCGGAAGGTGAGCTCACCGACTTCCACATCAACAAGAGCCTTCCCCGTAGCAAGGAAAGGTCTACCTAAAATAATAGGCAACTCATAGTCCACTTCATAATCAAGAATCACAAAGTCCGCCGGGAGGATGAACTTGTCAACACGAACCAACACATCATCAATAATACCCAATGGTCTCTTCATAGTACGATCCGCCATTTGTAAGCTCATGGATGTGGGTCTTGGTTGCCCAATTCCCAAAGTTTTGAACATCGAA